AAAAAAAAAAAATCACTATCACTAAGATTTAATGTTGGGATAAATCCAATAGCATAAAACAGGTTGAACATATCTCTAATATGAAAACTCAGAATCTGAAATGCTCCAAAATATGAACCTTTCTGAGCACTGACAAGACACCACCAAGGAAAAATGTCATGCCACATCTGACCACATGGAACAGTCACGGTCAAAACACAGACACAGCCCAGTCACGTTAGCACACCCTGGATGCTTCTGCAGGGCTGCTGAGGCCACATGGGAGACCCCGGTTCAGTTCCCAGCCAGCCCTAAAAAACTGGGCACTAGAGTGGATGCTGTAGTCCCAGCTGCTAGGGAGGTTGAATCAGAAGGATTGTGACAGAGCTAGACCCTGTCTAAAACGTACATAGACATGAGCACGTGTGCACATACACAAACACCCCCTACTACAAAAAAAAAGGAAAGAGAGCCAACATAGTTTACTCAGCTTATTAGGGACAGAAAACAAAAAAAGACCCTCATCCACCCTTTGGATTTATTTTCTATATATAACCAGAATTTGAATTACTAAGCCAGACTTTAGTTAAGTAGTTTATAATCAAATTGTTTAGCAAGAAGATTGCTGTTGGGAACAGCAGATGGCATAATGGTTACATTGCAGACTCACATGTAGTCAACTGCAGTTCGAGTCCCAGACCTGGTGGCTTAAAATTCACTCTGGGTGCATGTGTGTGCACACCTAAAATTCTGAAAGGAGAATGAAGGAGAAGAGATTGTGACATGGCCATCCCCTTGGGGGATGATTTCTCACTTTCTGTCTCTCTGTCTTTCTTTGTCTTTCTGGCGAGTACACGCACCCTATAGCAAAAACCTCTCCAAAAACCTCTCCAAAGTTAAGAAAAAGGGGGGGGGGGGATAAAATTAACTTCACCTACGTGTATAAGGTATATGTGAAACATAAATAAATTTCATGTTTAGATTTGGGTCCCCTCTCCAATATATCTCATTAGGTATATGTAAATATTCCAAAATTCAGGGGGAAAAAAATCTAATTGACTTCTAGTCTCAAGCATTTCAGATATGGAAACTCAACCTGTATAAGGACTTGCATTAGTGTGAATGATTCATTTATCCCTAGCGATTTCCAATGCTGTGCCACACTTAAATACTTTCTTACTGTCTTGGAAGTGAGAACAACACCTCACCAGGTAAGAGAGCTGTCTCAAAGGGAGGTCAAGCCTTAGCTACCCTGAACTTCATCAAGATGCAGCTGTTTAGTTCTCAAGGACTGTCTTCAGATTTCACCACCGTTTCTAGTTTCTCAGAGATACCTCCGACTCGAAACCCTTTTTCAGGCTTCCACACACCACGCTCTTGCTTCCTCTGCAGGAAGCCCCACAGAGCTGTCTAAGAGGCAGGCCTGGGCTGTGAGCTGTCTGAGGCCTCAGCGCCCAGGGCAAGCCAACTCCCCAGTCCCCAGGCAAAGGGTCAGCACAGAATAGCTGCTCTGTGAACAAGATCTCAACATGACGGTCAATGCTGACACTTGACAGGCAGAACACTCAAGTTTTTGACGTTCATGGCAACAAAATTCTTGTTCTTCGCTCAAAAATAATACACATATAATATTTTATGTATAAGTATAGAA